CGGAGGCACCGCCTGCCACCCTCCCAGCGCCCCGGCCTGGGGCACCGAAGCCAGCGAGCCCTTCGTTGGATGCCGAAGGCTGGCTCCTCCAGCGTGGGTGCCGAGGCTGCCATGGGTGTCTTCAAAGTGTGGCTCGGGGTGGCCCTGGCGGTGGTGGAATTTGCGTTATTGCCTCATCATGCCGAAGGTGAGGGCGAGCTGAGGGAGCCCGGCTCGGCGGGCTTGTGGGGTCGGGTCGGGTGGGAGCTTTTTGGAGGGATGGGTGGGTGGGAGGGGAACTGGAGTGGGTTTTTGCTCCGAAGATTCCCACTCGTATCGCGACCCTCGCCCTGTGGACGTGTGAGTGGGTGGGGGCCGACTGGGGGTGGCATGCTGTCTCTGCTGCACCCTCTCCCCCTTTCCGGCCCCTCTTGCTTCCGAAGGGAAAGAAACAAAATGAGTAAAATGAGCAAGCGAGGAGCGAAAAATTACTGTTTGCCTCTCCTGGAAAAAAAACTATGACCCCCCCTCCCCCGGTAAATCCTCCATTCCCGTCTTCCTCGTCCCGATAAGTAGCGAATGAAAGTCCATTTGAGATTTCATAACTAGCTGGTTCTAAGGTGTGCTGGATAATTAAATTGCCCTACCAAAAAGAAATCTCCCCAGTATAGCGAGGGACAAGTCTTCCTGGTTCCCCAGAAAGAAAGTGGAGAACGAGAGTTTAGGTTTCTTCTGTTACTTCCCCCGCCGCCTGCTTGTTGTCCTTCGGGGATCCCACCCGAAGCCAGGGGGAGAGGACGGAGGACACTGTCGCCATGATATCAAAGTCAATCTGGACTCAGCCAAATAAACGAATTACTAAGTAAATAGTTTAGGGGTGCTGGGCGCGGGGCCGCGAGGCGCTGGGAGCTCGCGCCCACCGGCTCCGAGGAGCCCGGGAAATCGCCCAGGTAGAGCCTAGGGAGGGGGAAGGGAAGCGGCGGGCTCCGCGGGAGACGGCTTAATTCCCTGCGCTGGCTTCTGGGCTTCCCCTCCCGGCTCTATTCATTATTCATCCAGCTGCGGGAGGAGTTCACCTGCCCCGCCGCAGATCCGAGCCCGCGAGACCGCGGGCGCGGGGCGGGGCCGCTCCGCCCAGGTGCCGGCGCGCGCAGTCTGTCCCAGGCGCCGAGCCGGGGCGCTGGAGGCCCGCGGGAGGACTGAGCCCTGCCGCCGGCCGACCTCCGAGCCCCACAGCAGCAACCCCTTTCCTCCTGGCTTCTTGGGACAAAGTGGCTTGGCTTTGGAAACCCACCCACAGCTGTAGGGTCCACCCCGTGGCTGCCACCCTTCTGTACCCTCCGGGGACGAATGCCAGTGTCTTCTATTCCTGGGAAAAACCCACCTGGGGCCAGTGTAGCCGACTCCAAATAGTGCATGATGTACAGAAATATATCTGTATTGTCTGAGTACCTGCATGCTTAACACACACACACACACACACACACACACACACTCTGTTAGGGTGAGTTGAAATTATAAACCAGTTGGGAGACGCAGCCAAGGACACCCACACTGGAACTTTTGGATGACTTAGAAAAATTGAGGGTTTTACTTGGTGGCAGTTTCTTATATAGATCATATTCCTGAAAGGCAGGAATGTCCTCTCTCTCCAGGAGAGCTCACCAGGGGGCAGTTGGAATGAGGCGGTTTTTCAGAACCACATCTGTTGAAATTGCAAAAGGCATTTTTAGTATGAGCCTACGGGGTGTGCTCTCTGGAAGGCTGTCTCATAACATGGGCAAAGTTTAAGGACATCCAACGTTTTTAAATGGTGATGTGGGAGTGGGGTGGGTGGGTGGGCGTCCGGGGACTTCTGGCTGTTTCCGCCCAACTTCAGAGCCTTGTAAAGCCATCCCTAATGAAGACTGACCAGGCATGAGTGAATGATGGTATTTACTGAGCACATCTTTTTT